CATAGGGTGATGGTCCTGAGTGCTGGTCACACTGAGGTAGGATAGTAGGGATAGGGGATGCACTAGGAGTATTGACGTGAGGATGGGATGGGTGGTGGCCTCGCCTCCTCAGAGCGACCATGGATGACCGCTTCCGGCGATCAATGTGTCCCTCGTAACTGTCCTCTACAACACCCTGGACTTTTAACTAAAAAAAAAAAAAAAAAAAAAAAAAAACCACCTCCCGCGATTAAGGATAAGACCACACCCCTGTCTCCACTCCCTTTACCACCCTCCATGGTGATGTCCGCATAAGTGACTGCTCCTGCCTCTGGCACTACCCTCGAGACACCCCACGCCTTAGGCACCGCATGGGATAGTACCCGTCCCCCTACCATAGCCTCACCGTGTGTCAATCTGCAATACCTACTATACTCCGACCGTATTCAAGTCCATGGGTCCGCCTGCCCTCCACTCCTATGAAACTACCTTGCCGCCTGTGCAGCAGCGTCCGTTGACCCGGCACACCCAACCAAACTCCTGGGATTCACGATAGACTACGCCCTTATCTGCACTCGCTCCTGACAATGACTCTCGCCGCCCTCGATTATGATGCCCATGTAAGCAAGTGCTCCAACACTCCCCTGGCACCCCTTGAGATGGCCCTCCCCATAGGTGCCCCATGGGACAGTACCACCGCCCTAACAATCCCTCTTTTTTTTTATATATTTTAACTTCCTTGCCTAGGACCTTCTCTGAAAGGGGTGATACGAGCATCCCCTTTTAGTGGGGCCTAGCATGAAGGCTCCATTTATCCCATGCGTGCCAACTGCGGGCAAGTGCATGGGGTGTCAATCGCGTACCAACCTGAGCATGCGCAGGAGAGGCTGATGGCCGAACCAAACCCTCAACCTCTGCTTCGCAATGCCAGTGCTTTGACCGACTGAGCTACCATGCACTGCTACCAATGGGCTATCTTGATGGTAAGGCACCAACTTTTTTTTTTCTTTTTTTTTTTTTTTTTTT